GCTGGTGACAAACAAAAAAATAGGAAACTAGGTCAGAAGTGTAAGGAAGAGCATGTACATTTTTGTGCTGTATCTGTTAATAATTGACTGGAGGGACACTGGTGAAAATAGGGAAGCTAGTTAGGCTACCACAACAATCTGGGTGACTGATGATGGTGCTAGTGGTAGAGATGTTGAATTACTGGATAAAGGATGTATTTCCAAGTGGAACCAAGAGAAATGTCTGATATCAGTTGTGGGATAAAGATATTTGGTATAAACAGCTAGAAGAATGGAATTACCGTGAACTAAAATGAGGGAAACTGGTACAATCAGGAGAGAGGAAAGAAAGACATCAGGGATTTTATTTGAGTGCTTGTGAAGTTTGATTTTTCCACTAATTAAACAAATGGCAATGAGGATAACCCATTTAGACATATACCTCTGGAATTGGAGGGCAGAGTCAAGGATGGACACATAAATTGATAGCTATCTAATTTTGATATTTCATGCACTCATATTGGGTGAAGCAACCAAGATGTTGGTTTAGTGAGAGAAGTGGTCTGAGAACAAAGCATACTGTCATTTAGATATTGGGTTAACACATGCACAGAAGCTTTAGAAGTGGCCAGAGAAGTAAGTAAAGGTAAATATGAGAACCAAGTGAAGATCAATTTTTCAGCAAGAAGGAATGATCAGCTTGTCAAGCTCTGCCAAAAGCTCAAAAGTGAGAACACAGACTTGACTATGGAATTCAGCAATATGCAGTAAGAATTTCTGCTTGGAGCATTTTTTCATATATTTACTTGCTGCTTTTATTTCTTTGTCTGAGGAAAAAATATGAGAAAATGTAAAAATGGAATTAAAGTGTTTTTAGGTGGGGAGGGAAGGAGAGGGTGAAGGGAGGGTGGGGACAAGGGGAAAAATGAGAACCAAGACCTGGCATGTAAAGGTACAAGATCCCAGTAATGAATGTAACTGTACTCTCTACCAAGAATGTTCCAATAAATTCAATTTAAAATTAAAAAAAAAAAAAGAATTTCTGCTTGGCAATAATTGCTCCAGATCTTGAAAACGAGATGCTAAGCTTAAATTACTGTATCTGGTCCTTTGCAATTCCTCACTGGATTAAACTGTTTAGTGGCATCATTTAAGAATGGTTAGAGTTTTTTTTGTTTTTGTTTTTTCTGTTTGCACATAACAACATATTTCCTAGGCAGGGTATGGTGGCTCATACCTCAGCCCGAGCACTTCAGATATTGAGGCAGAAGGATCATGAGTTTGATCCAGCTTGTGTTACAGAGTAAGACCTGTCTCAAGGAAAACAAAATCAAAATAAAGCAAAAATGAACATGTTTCTTTAATATTACATATTTCATGATAAATTATATTTTTATTTTACTACCTCTTCATGAAGAATAATTAATTTAAATTGGACTGCATGTAAAGAAACGGTGCAGTTGATGATTTTGACATTTAGCTATATACTTGTGAAACCATTATCACAATCAAGATGATAAACATATCTGTTATTCAAAATGTTTTCTCATATCCACTTGTAATCTACCCTACTCCCATACCCAACTGATCAATGGGTTGGTTTTCTGCCACTATAGATTAATCTTTTTGTTTATACAAATTTTACCATTTCTAAGAATTACAATTGCTTTGTAAAGATCTGAATTCTATTTTATATCACTTTTAGCTGGATGAACTTTCTATAATATTCTTTGTAGTAGTTGTCTGTTGCTGACATTGTCACAGCTTTTGCTTCTCTCAAAAGGACTTTTCTTAATATTACTTTTTGAAAGATATTTTCTTTGGGTATTGGATTCTAGGTTAACACTTTTGCCTTTTAGCACTTTCTAGATTATATCTCATTATGCTTTGTGTCGCATTACTTTTTAGAAGTCTGTGATTATTCTTACGTTTATTCTTCTTTCCATAGTGTGTCTTTTTTGGCTGCTCCTCAGATTTTCTTTTTATTACTGGATTTCAGTAATCTGTGATATACGTTTTGAAGGTATTTTGATGTTTATCCTGCTTTAGGTTTTTTTAGCTTCTTAAATATGTGGTTTAATATTCTCGTCAAATTTGAAAAGATTTTTGTCATTATTTCTCCACATATTTTGCTAATGCCCTCCTTTTGGGACTAAAAATGCATATGTTAGAATGCTTGATACGATCCCATATGTCACTCATGGTTTGCTCATTTGTGACTCTTTCCTTTCTCTGTTCTATTTTTTTTCTTATCATTGCCAAATATTTAAGTTTACTGGTCTTTTCTGTGGTATATACAGTAATCTGCTATTAATCTCATCAGTGATTTTTGAGACTTTTTTCATCTCTACAAATTTCTTTAGTTCTTTTTATATATTTTTCATTTGTCCCATGTTAATTTTTTTTCTGTGAATCTTTGAGTATGTTTGTAATTGCTGTTTAACGTCTCTGTTAGTTTCATCTGATCTGTGATTTCTGAGACTGGGTTTATTAACATATTTTCCCCCTAACTATGGGACATTTTTTGTTTATTTTTACATCTCTTAATTTTCACTGAATATTATATACTGTAAATATCAGTTTTCATGTACCTATATTTTATTGTCTTCTTTCAAAAAGTATGGAAATTTGTTTTAATATTTAGATTTCTTATAAATCAGTGTGACTTTTCCCCTTAAAAATTATTGTGTTTTTTTCCTTATAAAATAGTGTGACTTATTTGTTTTTAGCATAATTAGGCTACATCTAGAAAGTAGTCTTACCTAGAGGGCTATTTAGCGACATTTCTACATTATGACCACTGGGAGATCTCTTCTGGTTTTCCTGCTGGCTGAGTGACATCTTTACATTGGTCATAACTCAAATGTCTCTGGGCCTTGCACAAGTGTGAGGAATTATTCAGCTTACGTTTGTCAAAACTTTCATCCTACCAACCTGTACTAGTCAGGGACACAATATTCAACATCCACAATGTAAAGAGGCTTAATATGCTCATGGTTCAGTCCATGATAATCTGTCTCCAAGGCAGAGAAATCATGGTGGAAGGGCATCCAGGAGCAAAGCTCCTTAGTTCATGGTGGTCAGTAAGCAGAAAAGGGGAAGAATTCCAGAAAAGAACAGGCAAGAGACCAGACACAGACGCCCCCCAGACCACACCTCCATTACCCACCCAGACACAACTCGATATATGTTCCACAGTCCCTGGAATTAAACCCAAACCCAACTATGTTGGAATTCCACCCTAACTATGAAAACCTCCAAGGCCTAGCATTCAGCAAGAGACTAACAGGAACCTGTGCATATTTATGAATTCTTTTCTTTGTGTAACTCCTTCATCTCAACCTTTTTTCCTTCAATTCTTCCTGCTTCAGATTCCTCAAGCTCTAATTAATCGGCTCAACTCAGCCATCCTGTCGTACTCTTCTCAAGGCCTTGCTTCTTGCACTGATGTCTAAGAGCTGACCTTATGCAGAAAGCCAGGGCAATCTGCCTTATTTGGTTCTTTTCTCCCCCAGATCACAGGCTGTTGTAAAACATCTGAAAACAGTTGTTCTGTATATTATGTTTTCTAGTGGTTTATAGTCAGAAAGCATGCCCACATAACATACATGAACAAAGTGGAAATTCCAATTGTATTTTTTGAAAATAATTTGGTATTTAATTTAAAATTTCACCATTTAAATTAAAATAAATTGCATAAGTAAAAAAAAATATCAATTCTTTTCCAACACTTCACTTTGGACCTTAATCCATTTTTAAAAAATAGACTTTTTAGGGCAACTTTAGGTTGATTAAAGAATTGTTTGATGTATGATCATTTTGAGTTGTTTATTGTGAAAGATGGAAGAACTATGTAAAAATTCATATTTTTTGCATATGGATGCTCAATTGTTATTCCTGCAATATTTATTTAAAAATTCTTCTTTTTCGCTTGGATTTCTTGTCCTACTTTTACAAAGATTTATTGACTAAGGTCCTCTGAGTTTGTTCTTCTATATAATGTTAGCAATTCTACGCCTTTTACCTTTTCATATAAACTTTACAATCAATTTGTCGATATCCACAAAATATCTTGCTGAGCTTTTGATTGAGATTGTGTTGAATCTATAGATCAAGTTGGGAAGAACTGGCATCTTAACAATTTTTAGTTTTCTTTTGCATAAACATGGAACATCTCTTCATTTATTTATTTAGAGGATATTTGATTTTTTTCATCAGTTTTATTCAGTTTTTCTTATATAGATCATGTACTTCATTTATTTACTTTTGGTGATACAGTAAAATGTCTTTTTTAAGATTCCAATTTTTTATTGCAGATGTATAATTATTTTTACATATCATCTTTTTATCCTTTAACCTTGTATTAATTACTCACTGATTTAGAAATTTTATTTTTGTACATGAATCTTTGGAGTTTGCTACATAAAAAATTACAGTATGTGAACAAAAATAGCTTTATTTCTTTTTCAGTCTGTATACCTTTTATTTCTTTGCCTTGTCTTGTTGCATTAACTAAGAAGTTGAATAGGAGTGAGGAGAGGGGATATTCTCTAATTGTTCTTTATATTAAGAGGAAAAAAAGTCTAGTTTTTCTCCTTTAAGTATAATGTTAGCTGTAGTTTTTTAGTAGATTTAAAACATGTAACTCAGGAAGTTTCTATTTCTAGTTTTCTAAGGGTTTTTATTATGGATTGGTATTGGATTTTTTCAAATGATTTTTCTTCTTTATCTGTTGATGTGATAGATTTCATTAATTGCTTTAATTACTCTAGTTTTGACACATAAAGATTTAATTTTCTCACCTATTGTGGAAATTAATCCTTATTCTATAATCTATTAAATTTTAAATTGCTTTCTGTGTCAGTAAATATACTTAGTATCATTTTGTGAGGACAGTAATTCATTAAAAATATGTACCATTGTATCAGTCAGCTTTTTGTCACCTGGACACAATACCTGATACTCACAACCTGTAGTAGAAGAGGTTCACTTGGCCTCATGGTTTCAGACTATTAAGTTCAAGCTTTGTGCAGTAGCAGTATTGTAGCCAATGAGGTTTATCTGAGGTGCGATTATTGCTAATTGAAAACTTTTCCCAGGCTATTAAGTTCATGGTCAGGTGGCTCAAAGAAAGAAATATAGTGGAAGGGTTTGGCAGAGGAAACTGCTCACCTCATAGTGACTGCAAGCAGAGCAGAACAGTGCCCAGGAGGAAAAGTCCAGGAACCAGACAAAGACCCCAAACTCATGGCTCCAAGACCTACTCAAATTCACTCAGAATTGTGCGTTCCTATTTCTTCACTTGCTTCCCAAACTGACCAAGTTGACAATTAAGCTTAACCACCACAGTCATGATTTAAATAGTCTTTTATTATTGAACGTCTAGTTTTTTATAATTTTCCATTGTTATAAATAGTCCTGAAATAATACTCATACACATTTATATTTTTGTCATGTCTGTTAGTTTTCTTAATATTAATTCATTACATGTAATTTTAGGTCAAAGAATAGAAACAATTTTAAACATTTTGAGACATACCACTAGGAATTGTCTTCCTTAAATAATGCATAAATTTGAATCCCGTTAGCCAATATATTTTGTAATGAAGTTAATTAATATTACAGTTTTTATTCTTAACCAATCTTCTATGCATATCTCCTAACCCATGGTCACTGACTAACACTTAAAAGTGCCTATCATATTGTGAATATTGTGGAAAAATTAAATCTGAATAAGATGTAATATTTTCACTCCAATGGCTTACATTCTTTTGGAGATTATACCTATATCTATATCCATATCGTGGCATGAAGCCATGCCATCCACAGACCCAGTTAGTGGACCCTTTTGAAGGCATAGCTATTTTATTAATCAAAATATGGCCCTTTAAAGACTGTTAGTGTTAAGGGCTATATAAACTAATAAAGTCATGGAAAACACCATGGAGTTTTCTCAGAAAACTAAACAGTACACATATCCTATGATCCCGCAATCTCATTCCTGGGTATATTTTCAAGGGAAATGGAATCACTATGTTGCCCAAATTATCAGTGCTCCTCTACTTGCTATGGCACTATCCACAATAGTTAATATATAGATCAACTTAAGCACGCATCAGTGAATAAATGGGTAAAAAGCATAGCGCATTTACAATGAAAACCTACTTAGTCTTAAGGGATATAAGAAAATTTTTCATTCACAAAAATGGATTAACCTGGGGGTCAATGGTTAAACAAACTAAGTCAGACATGGAAAGACAAATACCACATAATCTCACTCATATATGAAATTTGAAAAAGTTGACCTCATAAAAGTAGAGAGTAGCATACTGGTTACTAGAAAAGAAAGTAGTTGTGAGGAAGGGGAGGTCTGAGTGATGTTGATAAAAGGATTTATAATTATAGTTAGGAAAGAGAAATAAGCTCACGTAATCTATTGTACATAATTATGATTTTAGTTTATGATCAATGTATTGTATTCTTTAAAAGTACTATGAAAATACATAGTGTTTTTTAATCACAAAAATGGCCACTATCTAAAATGGTGTATTTTTTAACTACCTAGATAGATTTAACCATTCCACAGTGTAAATATAATTTGGCATCATGTTGTACATAGTGCTATGCACATATTGTACAACCTGTTATATATACAATATTATATGTCAGTTTAAAAAATTGAAAACAAAGTTTGCAAACTACTGAAACAGATGTGTGGTCTTTTCCTAAAGACGTAGCTGTCTCCAGTGTTTCTTGAGCATTTGACAGGCTCCTGTTAACCACTTATTCCACATATTTCTCAGGGAGATTATGTGTGATCCAGGACATTTAGGTGCATTCCTACTACATATGCTATTGGGCTGTGATATGGCTATAATAACAGAAGAGAAAAAGACCTCTTTGTTTTAAAATTAAACTTGTTGACATTTGAGTTCCAGGAATTAGGAAAGGGAAAGCCACAGGGTAGCTTAGAAGGATAAGTCACAGCCATGTTATGAAATACAAGGAACTTGTTATAAAATACATTTATTGAATTATGAGTTAACATAAAGGTCTCCAAAATAGAAGCAATTCATTCCTGAGTGACTCTGCTAGCACAGTTTATTATCAGATCCTAATAATAACTAGTTTACCTGTAAACTGAAAATTGCATTGTAGAAATCTACCACCCAGTGAGTTAAATGTATTTCATTTGTAACTGCTCAATGAGCAAGGAAAGACCCAGGGGCACTGAGGAGTCAGAAAACCTGCCTGGATGTTGTAATTGTAACTACAGTATAAGAATAAATGATAAATAAGACAATGATAGATGAGCACGATATGAATTATATTTAGAAACTCAAATATAAACACATCATATTATTTTGGTGCCAGGATTTCCACCCCCAACCTAGAGAAAGGGACTATTCTTATAAAGCAAATTGAAGAAGAAAAATTGAAGACACTTGTAAATGAATAAAAATGCATGTGGAATTCAAATATGCAAATGATAACTATTTCTTTTGTACACACTGTAGATGGAAGAACAGTATATGATCACAGCTGGAATTCACACTGGGATCTTAGACAATGTAAGATTAGCAGCCACCTTCAGATCAGGCACACCCCAGCTGCTCAATTTACACAGCCTGCCTCCTCCTTTTCCCTCCTCTTCCCCTTCAGTAACCCTTCACGTTAGCTTTCCTCATTTTCTGAAGAAGGCAGAAAGGAAGCCCAAACCTTTTTGTGCAAAGAAAAATGCTACAAAGAAGAAGGCAAATACTAAGCCCTTATTTTTTATAAAAGAATTTTCTTTAAAAATTAGAAACTCTTCTCTAAACCGGTACCACATCAAAACAGTTATTCTGCATTTCAAAAGCAGTCATTGTCTTCTGTGCTCCTTGCAGAAGTTGATGTGACTTTAATTTTTTGGTGGATGGATGAATAACAGGATACCATTTTTTTTTGCATTGTTTAATCTTTTTACTCTTGCTTGGTTTTTGCATTTTGTTTGAATAAATGTCTATCTAATTATGCTGCCACGAGAGTATCTAGCTCTGCAAAATTTGTAAAAAGTATCTATTACAAGAAAATGCTCCTACTTTTGACTATAACTGATCGGTGATCATGAAATAAATTATTTTTTACATGGTGAAGTAGAAGGAACAATGCCTTCCAAAAATACACATCTATGTCCTAAAGTTGGGACTTGTAAATGTTATCTTATATGGAAGTAATGTGATTATGCTGAGAATCTTGAGTGGAGGACTTATTCTGGGCTTTCCAGGTGAGTCTTAAATGCCATCACTTATGTATAAAAAGCCAGAGGGAATTTGGAAGAAGAGGAGGAGTTGGCAATGAAATCATGGAATCAGAGATTAGAATAACGTGGCTGCAAGCTAAAGAAATCTTGAAGCCACTCACAGCTGAAAGATGAAAGGATGAGACCCTGGGTCTTTCAGCAAGAGAAAGATATAGTTGATAAATTGATTTTGGATCTCTGGTGTTCAAAGCTGCGCAACAGTAAACTTCTGTTGTAACTAGATATAAAATTTGCTGTAACAGCCACATGAAACTAGTACATGTAGATTCCTGTGTATATATGTTAGTAGACAAATTTCAAATTCTTTCGAAAAGAGATATCTAGAAGGTAGTGAGGGTACTTATGTAGGGGGTACAAGTGAGACACCAAAAAAGAAATTCGAGGCATTGAGGAAATGGAAGCAGTATGAGTAGGAGAGGTTCTGTTGCCATACTGGCTACTATTTATGGCCAGCTATCAAATGGTAAAATGTTGCTTAACTCAACACTGGAACTTCTCTGAAGATTGCAAAGAAGAAAATTGTAGTAGTTCATGGGAAGATGAAGGAAAGGAAATTTTTTTAATAGAGTTTATTGGTACATTTTAGGTATACAGTACAGTTACATTCATTATTGGGATCTTGTACCTTTACATGACAGGTCTTGGTTCTCATTTTTTCCCCTTGTCCCTGCCCTTCCTTCACCCCCTCCTCCCTTCCCCTTTACAAACACTTTATTGGAAAGGAAAATTGATGCATTCCAATCTCATTGTCCACGATCAAGTTCCATTGACAGCAATGCAGGCCAGAATTGAGTGAGCAGCCCCTCAATCATGACTTGGAAAACCAGAATTTATATTATGAGATGCCACACATTATACACTTAAAATTATTTTTGCAGTATTGATAATTGAACCCTACATTATACTTCTTTAAATGAAGAACAAGTCAGTATGTAGAGGCTCAAAATACGGGGCAGGAAAGCCTTTCCTTCAGAGTCAAGGCTGGAACTTGGAGAGATAACGGTTGTGGATGGCTAATGTCAGATGTGAGAAACAGAAAGTAATTGGAAGCCCATGAAGTTTGTTTCTGATTCTCTTTCTGAAGCTTTGGACAAATGGATATAACTCATGATCACAGTAGGAAGCAAATGAGACACACAATTTTTATACACTTTGTCTTTAGACTGAATTCGAGAAGTTGTATTTTAGTATGGTTTCCAGCATGGTAGGGCATTAAATTAGAATTGTTCTTATTTGAAATTGTTTGTTTCCCTAAGTGTCATATTATATTATTGTCATAAAATGGTAGTGATGTGATTTTTTTCATTATAGTAAAGCACATAAAAAATTACCATCTTAGCCACTTAAGTACACAATTCAATGATACTAAATATTAAATATACTGTGCAACCATCAGCTCCATTTCTAACTCTTTTTATCCTTTATAACTAAAACTATTTATCTATTAAATAATAGTTCTTCATTGTCTTTTCCCTTCACCCCTGGAAAGCAACACCATTCATTCTGCTCTGTTCTTCTCTATGATTTAACTACTCTTAAGTACCTAACATTCGTGGAAGCCTGTGGTATTAGTCTTTGTGTGGCTGACTGATTTCATCTAACACAGTGTCCTCCGTAATTTATCCCTGTGTTTGCTTATACTAGAATTTCATTCTTTATGAAGGCTGAATGATGCTTCCTTACCTGTATTTGCCATCCACTCAACTAATTAATGGACTTTTGGGTTGCTTCTACATTTTAGATTTTATGATATTTCTGTAAACATGAGTGAACAAATAATACTTTGAGGCTGTGCTTTTAATTCCATTGGGCTTATATTCAGAAATGAAACTACTGGATCATAAGATATTTGTACTTATTAATA